AATAAATTTTGTGCTCAAAATATCTCTTTGTTATTGTTGTTGTTTTAATATAAAATAAGACGCATATTGAGCTGTAGTTTGAGATGTAACACATTGCAAACTTTGTTGTTTGAGTTTACGAATGGCATTAAAAAGCTGTTTTCTTTCTGTTTATTAACCTATCGAATCATTTATTCTTGAATGATATATGGCATATGTAAATGATACCACATGACGGTGACGGATGTAATAAAGAGAAATTAATCATCCTAAAATAAGTTTTCATTCATATACAGAGGTTAAAGATTTATCATTTTTAAAATTTGTTCGTTAAATAATATCTATTTTTATTTTTCAATGCCACAATGGCCATATTCTTAATAACGAAATTATTTACAAGATATAACTTAAAGCTTTAATGCATATGTTGCTTGTTGTTCGTGTCTTAAGAGATTATCGGCGCGCGCATTAAATCCCTCAAATGCCGCGCATTTTTCTCATAATAATTGCGTGCAACACGTGCTGTTTCTTTTGAGATAGTATAAAATATAACCTTGGTTCGTCTATTATGAGAAATGTTATGTTTTTACTTTCGTTATTTTATTATTTTTATAGAATTTCGATATCGGACAAGCTGTTGTAAGAGTCAGTCGGTTCTTAAGGGTGACCAAGGGGTCACTAACTTAACAAATCCGTCAAGAAAACAGCGATTTAACTGTTGTATTTCATTGATGCATAATCCGGATGTTATCAAAATAAAGTCCTTTAAATCAAATCAATGATGAAATATTTTATATTTCTTTTTTTTTCTTCATTTCTGTATGCATCATATTTGATATCTTCGTGATTGAAAATGATAATATAATTATGCATTTTTTATATGTTAAATTTGCAATATGAATATTTGGTCATAGTTGCATTTTCTTTTTTCAATGATCAAATTAATTGTCTTCTTGAAATTGGCTTTATGGCACGGGTATATTTAACAATAAAATTATGGGGAGCTATAACCTAAAGGTTAAGGTGTCTGTCTCTCAATCTCAGGCTCCGTAGTTTCGAGCCTTCCTTTGGTCTCCGCCATGTTTCCTTGCATGACATCAGCATTAAACGATTTCGAACTCTGGCTACTGTAACATAGGGACTATTTTTGACGAAATCTGCAAATTCTTGTTACAAAAACGAGCATGAAAAACTGTTGTAAAATGAATCGGATGTGCAAAAAATGAAATGAAATGTAACTATTCATTTTTGTTTCAATATTCCCCTTTTTTGTTGAATTTTTATTTAAAAAGGGCTTGGAACCCTTACTCATGGTGATTAATTAAATTTTTTTTAAAACTTCCTTTTTTTGGCCCAAAGGGCATTTTTATTTTTTTTTCAATTGGACAGTGTTTACGCGTAAACTGTCAAACGGGTCGAAAATATTTATTGTCGTGATATTACGAAATCATGTTTGCCTAAAACAATCATTATTCAGACCGACTGTATTCATTTAATTTAACTCGTATAATTAAAAAAGCGTACGAAAAGCTACTGTTAAACATGGACTATTTTTTACGAAATTAGTCATTTACAATGGGCACCACTGTTTTGTATTTTTAGTTAACATTTATTAGTAATCGCTTCCGGAAAGCTTGCTTGAGCAACTCCCTAATATGCGTGTTCATGGTGTTCGGTCATGGTTCATAAAAAATAATTTTATACTAATGGAAGACAGTGCTAGACCGTTCTAGAAGCAACGACTGGTTCTTGAACGTACATAGATTCAATAGACTAGTCTAATAAATGTAATAATTCTAAATGTAAATTGTGATCGAACTCAAAACCTCTAAATTTTGTATTCAGACAGTGTGATCATATCACCTGGTGCCCAGTGCTTGGCATTTCGAATAATCATTTTAATTAAACGTTAAAAGACATCTACCACCGACTTTGGCGTCTGCTATAACATTAAATACATGGTGCCGTTCGAAAATGCTCATTCAAAAAAAAACAAAAACAAAACTACAGAAAGAAAAAAAGAAGTAAAATCATACGTTACTACTTAAACAGAAGTAGTATTCTATTTTCCATAAAAAAATCTGACCTTGATTTAATAAAATTGCGTGTTATATAATAAAAGTGTGATCTCCATGTAGAGTATATCAATTTTATAATGAAATATTGTTCTCATACTTCTACTGTATGTAATGCCTATAACATACCAATAGACAGGTGACTTTCGAATGCACACAACCACATGTGATTTCCATGAATAATTATTCTGAAATTAATAGTCTTAATTAATTGACACGTGAAGTTTTAATGTATTTAATCAACCTGCTTTTAATTATTCCTAATTTTCATTAATTCTTATTTTAATCAAAGCCACATCGTCTTTTATTCATAAACGACATATACCGAAGACAATTAATTGTGATTGGTTCCCACTATTGTCAAATTTTCTATTTTCAATCACAAAGTGACCGGGACCAGTATAGTGAAATTTAGTCCCAGGATATCTGTGACTAAGAGGAAACAAAGATCTCCTGGTCCCGTGGGAAACAACAATATCTATCAGGTAGTCAATTTTATCATGATAGACGACTTAGTAAAGGTCACTAGAGTCAGGGTAACAAGATAAAATAGTTAGTAAACAACAATAACAAACGTTTGTTAAGAAACATCTGTATCATTTGTCTTTTTGGTGGCTATTTTTTATTTTCTCGCCAATTCATTGCAAAGGTTAATTTAATTGATATCTTCGTATAAAAAGATATATTCTTAAAAAAGAAAGGAACGAGAAGTGGATATAGCAAAGTAGAGAATGTTAAAGCTGTAAAATGCTGCCTCGTACCTCATCTCAGGGTTGTTATATTTCCTGGTCCTTCGTCCGCGTCCGAGTAGTAAATGTCGTTGACTACAAACCACTTGCCCTTCAAGCTGTGGGGTCGAATCTCGACAGGGACTTTGGATTCTTTCATGTGAGAAAGCCAGCCAGTTAGCTTACGGAACATCGATCGTTCTACTCAGGTACCCGTTCGTGTACCCGTTCGTGCCTGAAATAATGCATGGAAAGGCATCTGATGTCTTCCTCCACCAGTAAACATAGGCAGTCGCCATATGACATATACTGTGTTGGGGCGACGTAAAACCAAACAAAGAAATGTTGAGGGCTGATTAAGTCGGTGCTAAGGGGCGTGAGAGATGTTTCACATTCCATCATCTCACACGAACAGACTCGATAAAGTCACGGAGCTAAATTCCGTTGATAAATCAGGTTCTGCGATTTTCAACTAAAGATGTATGTTAAAGTTTTCTCGAGAAATCTCCAGCAGCTGTTTTACGACAATACGATATTGTACAATCCGACTAACTTTCACTGTCGCCACATAGAATATTGACCAAAATAGATCTACTGACTTCTGACAAACAAGAGTGTATGACTATAAATGATGCAAAGATAGTCGGAAACAAAAAGGCGTCTGCCTGGTGCTTACAGAACAATAGATATCGTGTTAATTGCGTATGTCATAAACGTATGTTCATCTCGTTGAATCACCGCTATCTCTCTTGTAATATTGTTTTCGGTGTCTGAATCACAAGGCCAATTAACTTCCTATCGATGTAATCAATCTTATTGTGTCGTCTGCTTCAAACAAAGAGAGCGGGAAAATTATTATCGAAACTCGTATAATAACCATTTATTTTTATCAAAGATTTTTCTTACATGGAAATAGACTTTTTACCACAACAAAGTTCAACCCTCAAGTACCTAATGTAAGCAATAAAAACAAAACAAAACGAGCAAAAGGGAGGAAAGTACAATAGTTTCAGATTATCAAATACAATACACTACTCTGTATGGTTTCTGTGATGTATGTTGTCTGATTTATTTCACTTTGAAAATAGGCGCATACTACATTCCATAGAATCGTCCGTACTCGAGCTAATTCCCGTCTTTTTTGTAGTGTATATCTTTATTGCAGACAGATCAATATATTTTATCCTTGTTACTAATTGGTGAAATACTAAAATGAAAACTAATAATTTGATTCCACAAAATAAATTATTCATGATGGTGAAGGGGTTTGCCACAAGCAACAATTTACATATTAGATATTAATGATAGATTAATAATGTACTTATTTTCCGTAAAAAATATATGTGATTACTGTAGTGTTTACTATTTAGTCCTTTATTTAGCTAATGATAAATACTGCACTAGCTATAGTACCTCAGACAACTTTGATAGAATATAATAGCAGTATTTCATTATTTTAATCACTTCTAATCGAAATAAATAGATAAATAAATGAATGAATGAATGAATGAATGAATGAATGAATGAATGAATGAATGAATGAATATAAATAAATAAATTTCATCGACTCATGAAGAGATCAGCTTTCATAAATTAAGACAGTTGACAGTTATTCAATTATTAATTTATTATTAATTAGCCTGCTGGCTATATCAAAGGCAATGTTACACGTGTCAGGGCTGGATTTCAAATTTTAATTTGTGAATTTTAGATTAACACCAATAAACACAGAGCTATATTTAACAATCTGTAAAAAAAGTCTTTGCAATAAATAACCCGATTTGCATTAAAAAAATCTTGGACCAAAATATTTTTGTGTCCCAGAAAAAAGTCGCCTTTTTATCACACATAAAAAATCACCATAGAAAACAATTCTCTGAAGACTTGTTAAATTTATAGTATATCCGCTAAAACTCTAATTAAACATCGGTTTAGCAGATATTTCCAATGCAGCATCCTGTATCCGTAGGTGATCACGATGCGCCCTTGCTCCTATATAATATTCAAATTTCGCATTTTTCACATATGTTTACTTGTAAATATACGCTACTACTAAGAAACACAGCTAATTCACCCCATCCAAACAAAAATTGCAATTAATTGCAATTTCTATGACTGCATTACCAATCAATAACAAGTTGGTTATGATAATTTGAATATCGATTTCTTGTTAGTTGATAGGACTATTTTCAAGAGCGCAAGGATAACAAGCACCGACTGTGTTATTCGGTCCAATTGTCATTTTAGCGAGTTTCATCTATGGAGTGACAAGCCGTTTAAAAGAGGCAGTGTTATTTTGTTTGTGATATAAAGAAGTCATGATGGGGATTTATATATTGTATATCATTCCATTCGTATTGTTACAAACTGTGTTTGGAGGTAAATGCTTCATTAATGTGGAATTTATAAATTGCTCATTCGATTTTGACAGGACCTAACCATTGATGTAAAAATGATAATTATTGAAAACAACAAATATTGGATTTATAATGCTCGGAATGGCCGCCGAATTCTGAGCAGCTAATAAATGTTAGCGGGTCAGAGTACAAATATTTTTCGTTAATTTATGCGAACGCAACGTGAAAATACGTTACTGTCGCTATTATTAACTATTACAAATTTGTTTTACACACATGTTACCCCACCCACTTTTTTGACACTGATAAGAATGTTTGTTTAACATTGTTAAAGTGTAGAGTTATATATTTAGCTGTTTATTATGATATTTTACTGTGGTAAATTTTGTCATAAAGTTGTGTTTTAATCCCAAGAACCAATTACAATATTACATGATTCATTTCCCAGTGAATCATCTAAATTATTATAATCATATACTGTTATACATGTAGGTATAGATTTTTGAATTCAGGTATTGTTAGGTCAGTTGAGACAGATTTTCTCCTACATGTACTACCCATTTGATTAAATTACGGGAAAGTCAACAATTTTGGAGAGAACAAATCCTGAAATGAATGATTTTGTGATTTAAGCTACAATGATATTAATATAATTGATTTTAGTGTTGTATTTCACTATTTGCTAATATTTGAGTGTACCATCAATTGCTGCTGACTGTTAAACAAGGGAATGAGGGAAATGGGCTATTCCAGAAAATATCCGCACCCCCCCTATGGAAGAGGTCTGAGATGAAAATACCCCCCCTAGGACAAACACTCAAAATGACCCCCTTGGACAACCTTAAATGTAAGATTTTTGCCCAAAATAACCCAATGGACAACCTATGGAAGAGACTTTTGATCAAAGTGCCGTCCTTTGACAACCTATGGAAGAGACTTTTGCTCAAAATGACCCCCTTGGACAAAAATTTTCAATATCCCCCATTGACAAACTGCTGAAATTGACCCCCTAGGACATCTTCCATAGGTATATTACTATTAAAAATAGACCCCCTGGACAACCTATGGAAGAGACTTTTGCTCAAAATGACCCCCTTGGACAAAAATTTTCAATATCCCCCATTGACAAACTGCTGAAATTGACCCCCTAGGACATCTTCCATAGGTATATTACTATTAAAAATAGACCCCCTGGACAACCTATGGAAGAGACTTTGGCTCAAAATGACCCCCTTGGACAAAAATTTTCAATATCCCCCATTGACAAACTGCTGAAATTGACCCCCTAGGACATCTTCCATAGGTATATTACTGTTAAAAATAGACCCCCTGGACAACCTATGGAAGAGACTTTTGCTCAAAATGACCCCCTCGGACAAAAACATTCAATATCCACCCTCGGACAAGCTACAGAAATTGACCCCCTAGGACATCTTCCATAGGTATATTACTAATAAAAATACACCCCCTGGACAACCTATGGAAGAGACTTTTGCTCAAAATGACCCCCTCGGACAAAAACATTCAATATCCACCCTCGGACAAGCTACAGAAATTGACCCCCTAGGACATCTTCCATAGGTATATTACTAATAAAAATACACCCCCTGGACAACCTATGGAAGAGACTTTTGCTCAAAATGACCCCGTTGGACAAAAACATTCAATATCCACCCTAGGACATTTTTTTTTAGCTATAGAAATTGACCCCCTAGGACATCTTCCATAGGTATATTACTAATAAAAATACACCCCCTGGACAACCTATGGAAGAGACTTTTGCTCAAAATGACCCCCTTGGACAAAAACATTCAATATCCACCCTAGGACAAGCTACAGAAATTGACCCCCTAGGACATCTTCCATTGGTATATTACTATTAAAAATAGACCCCCTGGACAACCTATGGAAGAGACTTTTGCTCAAAATGCCCCCCTCGGACAAAAACAACATTCAATATCCACCCTCGGACAAGCTACTTAAATTGACCCCCTAGGACATCTTCCATAGATATAACACTAATATAGACCCCCCCCCTCCTCCTGGACACCCTATAGTAAAGACTTGATCAAAATGACCTCCCTTGGACAAACTACCAAATTAACCCGCTATGACATCTTTCATATGTCAATGCTTTAGGATCCGATTATCAGCAATAGGTTGTCACTTTCCCATATCCTTTTAAACAAGCAATCAGCGACGAGCTTTCATAATCTTTAAAGCCATGTGGTTTCTTTTTTTATCTGCTGGAAAATCAATTTTGAGTGATTTGGAAAACAAACATGGCGTTGTGCATATAGCCTGCAGACCCTGTAAACTGCCAAAACAATATTGACCATTAAAAATTTAGTCTATTATTTCCAGTTTATTTGTTTCATATTACTTCAAACATTCATACATGTAAAGGAAGGTTTGATTGCATTGCTAATAATAGCTAAATTTTTTGGAAATCCTTATCACAATGATTGCGAAACAAATACGGTACAGTGGAAATCAGATCTACATGTAAAAAGAAAGTAGATCCTTTAGTAAGATTGTTCATAGTAGGTATAACGCTTATTAAGACCCCTTGGACAACCTAGGGGTTAGGGTTAAAGAAATAGCCTCCCTTGGACAAAATAACTTTTGATGCCCCCTAGGACAAACTATGACAAATCTTGTATATTCATAAACACAATGGACAACTTATGCAAAACATCATGTCTGTTCATAATCATTACTTTCACAGACACAGTTTGGGAGTAACTAAGGCTAAAAAAAGACCCATACAATTCAGTCTAGCCAAATTCAGATCATACCTCTTATTACATGACCATAAGGAAGGAAAATTATAGTGATATTATGCCCATTTATTTGAGTAGTCAAGAAAATTTTACATTTTGCCATAATTGTTTTTAATTTTTGTATATTACTTCCCAAATTATCCAGATATAACTAATCCACATGATGGTCCTCATGGGCTCCTTGCTGCTAGTTCTTGTTGCTGGGTCATGTGGGGGTTGCGTTCATTGAACACCGCCTTTCATTGTTGATCTTGTCTATCATATTTTATTGAAAATTCTATAGAAATCCTTTAGAATGTATAATTTTGTAATTCTTGATTGATAAAAATATTGGGACAGTCTTTTTTAATTCAAAGGTAGCTTTTAATTATATTTTAACAGATTTATCCTAACATTACAGCTTGACAATTCCAAAAATAGGACTATCCTTAACTCACCCGGATGTCAGCATTGGTGTAACAATTTGGTTACGGTTTTACATGCAATATCATATCCCATGAACCACTTACGATATTTGCTTGTACTTCACACACTCATTTAAGAGCAATTTATAAGGTCACTATCCAAGGCCCGTAACTCTAGCATTGATTTTAACAGAAATATAGCCCTTTTCGAACTTAAAAAATCCTTGGTATAAGTTTTGCTTGCAACTTCAATGTTCAAAACTACTAAAGGTATTCACTTGAAACTTAATTCATCTCTTAAGGTCATTTTCCAAGGCCCGTAACTCTAGCATAGATTTTGACTGAGTTATGGTCCTTTTTTAACTTTTATAAGTGTTGCTTACAACATTATTCTTCAAAACAACTAAAGGTATTCACTTTAAACTTCATACAAGTTTGCGGGATCATAAATAAAGGTCACTATCCTAGGCCCGTAACACTAACATCGATTGTGACTAAATTATGGTCCTTTTTTAATGTTTATAAGTCACTGTTACTTACGTTACATTATTCTTCAAAACAACTAAAGGTAGGGGACCATCAACCCGACACTGTTTGAACATTTTCCATAGACTTTATAATTTGAAAGCTAGAGATCTGAAATTTTGACACAGTACAGCTAGGTTGTTCTCCTAACTAACAAACAACTTTGTTTATTTTTTATTATATTGACACTTTTATCTGAGGCCCATCAAGGAGGGTATCAAAATTACCAAAATTGACCACACTACAGCACCATGTGTCGGGACAGATATGCAATGGCACTAATTTAATTCAGATAAAAGCTTGGGTGTTTTGATTGTTGTTTTTAACATGATATACAATATTTCAGCAACAAATGCTGAAGTTTTGAATATTCTATTGTTTACTCTGCAAATGATGATAGCTTGTATATGAGACCAGGTATTGCTTTCTTGACCCCCAAATTTCAACATCAACATTCTTGAAATAGACATTAAAAATTTACCATTTATGGAGGTTGAAATACATTTATTTACTTGCTACCCCCAAGGTCAAGGTCACACTTAAAGTTTATATGTTGAAATGTCTTCAGTTAGTTATAAAAGTCTACATTTCGTGTCCGCTCCATAACTTTTAAACTACTGATTTTTTTCTAAAAAAAACTTGGCACAAGTTATTATAACTATATTAAGGCGGTGTGCAGAGGGCAATAATTTGGTTGCTATCCCCAACTTCAAGGTCACACTTAAAGGTCAAGTGTTAAAGGTGTACAATTCATGTCCGCTCCATAACTTTAAAGCCGTTGGAAGGTTTTTATAAAATAACTTGGCACGAGTGATCACCATTATGAGACGATGTGCAGAGCGCAATAATTGAATTGCTACACCCAAGGTCAAGGTCACACTAACAGGTCAAATGTTAGTCGTCTTCATTTCATGTATGTCCATAACATTTAAACCGCTGCAATGTTTAAAGATAACTTGGCAGAAATGATCACCATTATGACACCATGGCAGAGCACAAAAATCCAGTCACAACCCAGTCAACCCTAAAGGTTGCAGTCACACTGTAAAGGTACAATGTAAAAAAGAGTTCAGCATCAAGGTGACTACCACCAAGTTATATGTTCCATATTTTTTTTATTTTATGGAAGATTTTAAATAACATGGCACAAATAATCACCATCATGAAACTATGTCCTTATGATAATCAAGGTTGTGGCTGGTTAAAGGTCAAGAAGTTCACATCATGTTCACTGGGGAAGAGGATTTAGCTGTCCTTCAGACTGTCTTGTTGTCCTTTGAATTATTTTGGCTTACTTTTTAGCTCACCTG